GAGGATCATTAGTGGATCCATACTGGGTAATCACAGCAGCTCACTGCGTTCAATGGAAATCGCCACGTAACGTCAAAGTAAGGTAAATGGGAGAAATTAACATTCTGTTAACTAGAGCAAAAACAACTAGCATCTGTAAGTCATCAGTGAGAAACATTATTAGGAATATGATATTGAACTATTGTAATAAGGCTTAAGATAATCTCAGACCACGATCAATGAGCAAGTCTAATTATTCGTTTCATGCATGTAGGCTGGGGGCCCATTACAGGACAAGTGGAAGTGTTGGGACAGAGCAAGACATAAGCGTCTCAAACATTATAGTCCACGAGAACTACGGAAGTCCAAAAACGTATAGTAACGACATAGCTCTTTTAAATCTCGAAAACCCTGCTGCACTTGGAGTAGGAGTCGGACTTGTCTGCTTGCCGGATATTGGAAATATTCTTCCCGTTGACCTAAATAAAACATGCTGGATAACAGGTTGGGGAGATCTGTACTCAGGAGGATACCAACCGAATACCCTAATGCAAGCGTCTGTGCCGCTGGTGTCCAAACAACGTTGTTCGAATGTTTATCCAGGAAAAATCGACGACTCGATGCTCTGTGCTGGTTTGGATCAAGGTGGAATTGACACCTGTCAGGGCGATAGTGGTGGACCGCTGGTGTGCGAGTTCAACGGCACCTGGTATCTTGAGGGTATCACCAGCTGGGGATACGGATGTGCTCAAGCTTATAAGTATGGCGTCTACGGCAAAGTGCGGGCCCTGGATTCTTGGGTGCGTGCCAATATCTATAAGGTGGCTCCACCAAGTACAATACAGCCGCACAATCAGTCTTCGGTTTCTTTAGGTAAGAACTGCCTCTTTCTGCTGTAAAACATTAATTTTAAAAGAAAAATACACAATTTCAAATGTTTAAGCCCTTGAATTTTGAATTTTAAGAAAATGAGGACTTCGCATCATTTGTAAAAGGCGATGGTAATCCTAACAATGAATGACCTTTATCTACTATGCTGTACTTATTAACTACAGCAATGTTACAACCTTACAAGTTTCTAAATGTAACCAATCAGTATCTTTAAACCTTTAAAGGAAAGGGAAAATTGAGAAAAAAACATAAAACAATGATCATCATTTTCTCCAATTGCGTTAGTTTGGTGCAGTTTTGACAATGGTTTGTGTTCTGGATGGAGCCAATCCTCTTTCGATGACTTTGACTGGACGTTGGGGTCAGGGGCGACGCCATCCTCTTCAACAGGTCCCAGTTCTGGTCAAGGAGGATCAGGTTAGGCGTGAACTTGAAGAAACAAATGAAAGAAATGTAGCACTAATGATATACTTCATAAATTGTATTCATATAGATATTTTTTTTTCCTTTAAGATTGCAAAAACTTCTTTGAAATTAATTTGTCTAAATTAATGTCTAAACTGATATGTTTGAAAAACCCATCAAAGAACCGTGATTTACATTTACCAATGAAGTCGCTAGAGAGAATCAAGCAAAATATCAAGGGCTCTTTTGAGAATGTTTGATAAGACTCGAATAGTTATTTTCGTGGTGGTATTTTTTTATTATATGTATTTTTTGATTGTTTGACAAACAGATATTGCATTACTCCTTATCCCTTTTTATATTCAAGATATTTTATATGTTTATGTTGCTGCTTTAGGAAATTATATTTACATTGAGACGTCCTCGCCGAGGAAACCTGGAGAAAAGGCAAAGATCGTGGTCACAGCCCCCAAAAAAGGGAAAAAAGCGTGTCTTTCATTCTACTATCATATGTATGGAGCTTCCGCGGGAAGTCTTAATGTTTACAACGGAAATGACACAGTCTTTAATGTATCAGGAAGTCAGGGAAACAGATGGGTGATGGTGGAAAAAAGTATACACCTCAATAGCGAGGCAAGTAATGTCTGGTTTCTCAATGGCCGTTCCTCTTCATCCTTAAGAATGAAGATATCAATATCAAGTATAAACAACGTGTTATCACAAAACATTGTGGTCGCAAGCGGCTTAAAGGGTCGAAAACCTACCAGCCATAAAAGAGATATCGTATCCGCTGCGGGATCCGATGCTTACAGTCAGTTATAAAATGCCGTTCGATGACAAAAAATTCCAAGTTATATCTTCAAAATTTCTAATTATTTTTCCTAGAGGGTAGATGTGACATTGCCTCGGAAGAGGGAAGCGGAAAAGAGAGGATAGATACAAGTGATAGCATATAATATTTTTAATTCAGCTTCCCAATATTTTACATGTATGACTGCAGGTGCTTACAAAAAAAAATCAGGGTATGTTTTGCTTTGTAACGTAATAGTAGTTTATATAAAGTTTTAACTGATCATGCTCATAAATATGAACGCTGATTAGTGAATATTTGCTACGCCTTCCTTACAGATTACATTTGAAGGAGTAAGAGGGAGTTCTTACACTGGTGATATCGCCATTGATCAAGTACTAATTACCGAAGGAAACTGTCCAGGTAAATGGAAATTTAATTTTTGCTTTATTTGTTTTGTTTTTGCTTGGTTGTTTTCCCTTTCTTTGGAATAAATAATCTCAATTTATATGTATTATTTTGCTAGTCGACATAGAATCATAATACTGTAACATGTAATCCTTGACGACAGACAAGATTAATTTAACCCTATGGTAGCTAAACGAAGATGCTTTTGCTCATCACTTACTAATACATTCCAGACTAAGGGGCGATGATTTTCCAGTGGTAGGCAACTTACAGATACAAGGATATAACTAAAAAATTTAAAGATATAGCTCTTCTCGCAAGAATGATCTTGAATTCCACAGATGAATATTATACTTTTTCTTTTAAATTTTTCTTCTAGTTTCATGTAGCTTTGACAATGGGTTGTGCCTTTGGTGGAGCCAATCCAATTCAGATGTCTTTGACTGGAAGCTTCTTTCTGGTTCCACGCCATCATCTGGCACGGGACCTTCGTCAGACCGGAGTGGGACAGGTTTGCGAAATCGAATTGAGAAATTTAATCATCAAACGGTCCGTCGCAATCGCTATTCTCAAAAAAAGACAAATGTCTGTAGCTTCAGCATGATCATAAATTATTTCACGCCTGGTGCAGCTCCAAGGATTGATTTCTTCCTAACAAACCATTTTCAAAATATCGTCCCAATAAATGAAATAATTTGATATTTCTCAGCCATAGACCAAAAATAGCAAAAAAGATGGGTATAATATATATATTAATTATTATTTTACAGGAATGTACATGTATACTGAAGCCACATATCAGTCAAAGGGTGATAATGCAAGGCTCGAACTTTCAGTGCCTAGCGGAAGATCATCATCTTGTCTTACGTTCTACTATAACATGTACGGAATATCAATGGGGACGCTAAATGTCTTCAATGGAAATGACAAAATATTTACTAAGTCTGGAAATCAGGGTTCCTATTGGAAGAAAGTTACCAAAACTTTGCACCTGAGTGACGTTGTAAGTTGACCATTATTTATTTTAGATTACCAAAAGATGCCCCACCCTGTACTTCATCTTAATATGTATTTCCGTAATTTGCGTTTACTTCATATAAATCCCACAGCTTTTCCCTTCAGAGGTCGAACACCTTGCTAAACTAGGATGATTTGTAATCATCAGCTTTTTATTAGAAATCATCAAGGTTCATGGAAAAACGCAAAAAAGATATATATATACGAATAGATGTATTAATAGGTAGAGGGCGACACCGAACATACTTTTGCAATTGATTCCTATCAGTCTAATTTTTTTTTAAACTAAAAGCGCGAACTGCTTATTTGAGTTGACTTTAATTTCAATTTTTTTCCTTTTCAATATTTTTGTGGCTGCCTCATTAGTTGACATTTGAAGGAATAATAGGAACGTCGTTCACAAGTGATATTGCTATTGATGATGTCACAATAAGCGATGGAAATTGTCCAGGTATGGTTTGCATAGAAGACAAAATTGTGTCGAATCTGCTCTAACTCCCCATTTATGGTTTCAGAAACCAAATGAAATATGTAACTGGACGCTGAGAGCGTAGATAAGTATCTGATAGGTGACAGAGTCACTTATGGTCACGACGAAAGCAAATAGAACTACAGTGTAAAATCTAATCTAGCATCATTGAAAATCGGCATAAGTGTCCAAAGGATAGGATTAACATTCGAAAAACCAGCCCACCATGGTCATCTTAGGGGATAATACTTGAAGTTAGCTTTTATAATGAAAACTGGATTATAATTTTCTGTCAATGTGGCCTTTATGGCTCGAATCTGCGAAATTGGCGGATCACCACCATTTTACCAGATGCCATGGCCAGTAAATTTGAAGAACTAAGTTTAGATTAAACGTTAGACAGGGATAACGCATTTCCATACGCTACTGCTTAGGTTGTGGCGGTGTTTTAAATAAATCTTCTGGAGTGGTGCACCTTGCTAACACTGGGAACGAGGACGAGACGCATTGCATTTGGACAATTGGCAACGCCGGTTTAAGACAATCATATGCATGGTTGTCTCTTCAAAGAATATACCTTGGATATTGCAGGTATTGTTATTATCCTTAATAGTGATTTATTGAATTCTTTGCATACGCACTCACATAAATAATTTAAATTAATTAATTAAATCAAAAATATTACATAGCAACTGCTAAAAGTGTGAAATGAATTGAAACCCTTAGAGTCTTTTGGCAAGTCCTGTTGCACTGCATAAATACAGAACTTCAGAGCTACCCTACAAAGAAATCTACGTAGATAAACTGAGCATTTTTAAATAATTTCCTTCCCCAAGCCCCCTTTTTATTTTGTCACCTTATTGTTAACTTTATAGTGAGTACGTCAAGGTCTTTCACGAAGATGGAACTGAACTATTTACCCGAGAAGGTTGCCAGTCTTCGCTTCCATACGGCACTTCACTGGAAATTCCCTTTGGTGTCTCAAGCCATCTGACAGTTGACATTTCCCTTCAGTACAGATGGAGCGCAGTCAGCATACAGTATATTATCTCAAAACAAGGATATAATTCTGGTATGATTCTATATTCGTTGCAATATGAATGCATTTTTTTGCATATTGGATTGTAATCCAGACAAAAGATATGAATCGAGATCGTAAGGTACTATTTCGAATAGACAGGGAAGTTTGAAAGTTTGTTTTATCACATTATTTTAAATTTTAGGTAAATAGATTTTATTCCAGACAAAAGCTATGGATCAATAAATATCCAAGTACCATTTCGAAAAAACTGCGAATTTTGCTCACCAGAAAGCGACTGTTGATGTTCTATGCCAAAAAGCGCATCATGTGTAACTGCGTAATTAAGATCGAGCTTTGGTAGTGGGACCTCTCTTTTGAGGAAAATGGAAGAACTGAGATCAGTTTCCATATTAACATGGGTGTTTGGAACAAGGTTTTATGTCCGCTTTTTTTTTTCTACAATTTGTCCATCGATTGGTATATAATTTTTATCAGCCATTTTCTTAATAAAAGTGTATTCTGATTTCACAGCCAAACCAATATTCTCCTGGAATATAACTGTGGACAGTATAACATCATCCTCAGCGACGGTGCGCTGGTCAAATTTTCCGCTGCCGCTCTCAATCAATCACTATTTGGTGAGGTTCAAGGAGGTTTCTGGTTTCGGCACACTATTCCAAGTCAGTAGTCACAGCAACTATTATTACACCAACATTCTCAAGGGATACACATCTTATGATGTTGAAGTTTTAGCTGTGACCACCAGCGACGGAAATGTTACATATTCTAGCAAAACTGTATCAATGAAGACAGCAGAGGGTGGTAAGTGCCCCTATGATATTTGTATTATGTTGAAATCGATAACAAAACCGTATCTTTTGAAATCGGAGTAGATCTTGACACGAAGCAATCCTAAATTTTCTCCCTAGAATATCTAGTGCGATACGCAATTTCTGACAATATTCCATGACATTGCCAACCCTAAGCGAAAGAAACACTTGGTTCTGATTGCTCTCAAATTTATGACATTATAAGAAACTACCTCAAAATATTGATACAATCCGTCTTTATGGTAGTACATAAGCATAATAGTACTCATCGTTTCTTAGCAAATTTAAACTTTTAAACTACATGAACAATAATGTAGTGAACAAACAGATTCTATGCATTTACTTAGGCAATAGAAATCTTCAAAATGTGGCAAGGAAAAGAACAACCGGACGCGAATGCGTCACAATGTTCTTTAAACAGTTTTACTTCCTCCGCGATTATGAATCTGGCGACTGGCGCATAAAAGCATGGAGGTCTTCTATTAATTTATCACCTAACAGATAATAACCATTAGCACTAATGAATGATAACTGTTGTGTCCATATGTATTTTGCAGTTCCCAGCCGAGCTCCGTCGAACGTTCGTGCGGCAAGCCATGGATTGAATGAATTATTGATTCGGTGGGATCCGCTCCCTCACCAATACGCCAATGGTCGACTCTTGGGTTACAAAGTTTATTATAAAAACACCGACTATTACTACTCGTCAGAGATATCTGTTAATACGAGCAACGCTGACGAAACACAGGCTGTACTAGGTGGTGTACAGACAGGCAGCCGTTACAAGATTTCTGTAGTAGCATTTACTTCGAAAGGGGAAGGACCCCGATCTCCAGATCTCTACTTAACGAAGGGTAAGGACAAACTCAGTGCCGAAAAGCTATTATCAGATTCTATCTCTCTCAAAAGGTGCGAATTTAGCACTGACAAGAGACGTCGATATTCGACACAAGGCTAAATTGGTTCCTACTTATGGATAAATCACTTTCTCAATTATCTAATACTATTAGAACATTACATCAGAAAATTGCAATCTACTGTGGACTTAGTTCGCCTCAACATATCATTGACTCTGGAATCACAAATATGAACGGAACACTCTGCTTCTTGAAGCTCTATCAAAGCATTATTGACTGTCAAAATTTGATTTTTCTTTATTTCTTCGTATCACTGTCAGAATATATTATAGATTTTTAGCGCAGAATGTTTTTTTTTAATTTAAGGAAAATAGTGTTATGTGATAATCAAATTTCAGACGGGAGGTCCTTATTTCGTAGTTTCATATTAGCAATTTGAATGTATTTACGAAGGGAATTGACGTATCGTGTTGCACTTTCCTTCACTCCAGATTGCGAAGGCATTGTAAACCAAGTATCTGGTTGGTTATATTTTAGTAATGTGCACTACAGCACTCTCAACTGCAGTGTTCAAGTACAAAACGCTGGAATCCAACATGGATCGGCCC